CTTAATGTAACAAATTAAAGTCATTGCTGATGAACTAAAAGTGTAAATGATAATAGTTGAAAGGTAAAAAATGTTACATTTACGATTGACGATTGTACATATGTAAGATGACTAAATGTGGTAAAATTTAGAGTTGGGATGAAAAATGTCGCTTCCAAAATATTTAAATGATTAAAAGTCAAAGAACTCAAAATCAAGTACCAAAAATGCCTCTGGTTAGAAAAGAAGGAATTCTGGTAGTAAACATATATAAAGTGCATGCACAACAATTTACCGATTACCTCATTTAATAACGCCAATTTTAGTGTTTTCAAAAAGTTTACCATCTAGTATCAGTCCTTAATACAGTAATTGAGTTACAAAATATAATTTTTGGGATAAGAAAAAAATATGTTTTAATTAAACTATTGCTAAAATAACAGTGAATTGAACAAATGAATTATACATTTTAAACGCTTTATTAATAATAAATACTGTAGATATTACTCGCTCTGGCTCATTAGACTTTGCCAACTTTCCCTCTTTGATTGTTCTAAAAAAATTGTCACTTTGCTATTAACAAATTTTTAGTTCCGCTCATTTTCTCTTCTCTGCACAAATCTCAACCACGTGACTTTCACTTTTCATATTTCTCACATAGTTTTGAATTGACAACCTTCATTGGGATGGAGGTAATATTATTATTATACTCCCTCCGGGCCCTATTAAAGTTTCTAGTTTGACTTCACACAGATTAAGAAAATAAATTTGACTTTACTGTGGAGTGCACTATTTGGCACTGTTTGGACACTGTTTGACACTGTTTTGCACTGTTTTGTTTCCTATAATGGAAGTGTGAACTTAAATAAAGGACATCCTAAAAAGGAAAGTGAGAACTTTAATACGGAGCAAAGTAATTTTCATATCTCCTCTTTTGATCATTTTGGCCTTTTTGTAAGAGAGAAGGTATTCCTTTAGAGCAGGTGTATGCATCCCCCGCGTCTGAAAATTTTCTTTTCAGTGGTCATGCTGTGTAAGTAATGGCTATCTTGCCGTTTTTCATACCCCTTGGAGAAACCCATGTAGGCACACACACAGGACCCATTAAATCAAGATTCAAACATAATACACAAATCAGTTTGTGTATATACACACATGTGCACCCATTATCCTACACAGAATTTATTCAATATTATTTATTATGAGAGCGTAATCACATGTGCATATTAGATGAAAATGCGTGCTCACATATTTTATAATAATTATTAATTCATAATTAAGAACTCCATGAGCATTTTTTAATAATTAATTAAAACTTCACAACTTTATTTAAGATGATATAAGGATCATACTTCGTATATGTTTGTGCCATATTTTCGGTCGCTCGACTGTTGTGTAAGAGACATTTTTTGTACTCGACTTTCAATTTTTCCATTTTTAATACTCGACTATACATTGTGCAAGAGACATTTTTAATCCTATACATCAAAGTTTCCCTCATTTAGTCATCACCGAGTATTAATTATCAAACTGACACTATGATTTTAACACAAGAAATAGAGGATTACAAATGTCACTATTTTAATAGTTAATGATGAAAGATAAAAAATGTCACTTTTATGAAAGTCAAAAGACTAAATTTGAAAATTTTCAAAAACAGGTATTAAAAGTGTCTTTTGCATAATTTCGAAGGAGTGAAAGTGGAAAAACTCAAAGTTGTGTATCAAAAGTGTCAATGTCATCATAGTCGGAGAACTAGAAGTGGAAAAAACTTTTTGAGTTAATATATTTCTCAGTAAATTTCTAACATGTATAGATTCACGGTTAGAAGGATTATCAGATTATGTTATGTTTGAGTACATCGGTCGGACACTGTTAAAAGGCCGATGGAACTTAATTATTATTTAACTAATTATCCTTCAAAATCTTTCGATTTGAAGGAACTTAGAAATTGAACGTTTAAACCGGTTTGGAGAATCTTAAGAACCTTTCATAATAATTTCTTTTTGATCTTTTAATCTCCGAAACAAGAAATATAATACCTTTCGATCTTTTAAGAGTTAATTATCAAAATAGGACTAAAAGTCATTCACTTTTCACAAATAGGACCAAAAAATAAAATATGTTTGCATATGACTAATTATGTGTACCTTGGACAATTATACCCTTATAGCTATTAAAATGTTTTAATTCCTAATAAAATAATAAAAAATAATAAAAATTCGTAAAAAATACTAAAAAATTAAGAAAAACATTTCGATATTAAAAATTTAATTAATTTTTTTTTCAAAAAATTAAAAAAATTAAAAAACAAATTAAAAAAAAAATCAAAAAAAAAAGCCGCCGCCTCTGCCGCCTCAGCACCACCACCTCCAGTCATCAGGGGAAAAAAATTCCAAGTTCATTAAGAATGCCATATTTATGACAGAAAAAATGAAAATGTTGGCATTCGAAAAGAGAAATATGCCACTTTTTTGGCATTTTCAAAAAAAAAATGGCATTTTTCTGGGAAAATGGCATTTTTTTCATCGGCCGGAGGTGGTGGTGCTGGGAGGTAGTACAGGCGGTGGGAAAGGCATCCATATTTTTTTAAATTTTATTTACGGAGTTTTACTATTTTTTATTAATTTTTTTAAAAATAAAATTATTTAAAAAAAAGTTTTTGAATTTTTTATTTTATAAAAATTTTATAAATTTTTTAATTATATTTTTACGAATTTTTGAATTTTTTTCGAATTTATTATGAATTAAACATTTAATTATGGCTTTTGACTATTTTTAATTCATATTTAATGGAAGGGTAAGAATGGAATGCAAAAATAGGTATGTTTCCAATAGGACTCATATGGTCCTATTTTGGAATAAAAACATAGCAAGTCCTATTATAAGTTTTTGCCATAGTTTTAGTCCTATTTGAACTAATTTCATTTTTTAAACTCCCAAATAAGAAATAGAAAGTCATGGCCCTACTTATTCTTCCCTTCCGCTCAAACTAAACTCTCAAACATACAGCTAATTCTTTCAAGTTATTGATTATAATTAGACAACTCATAGACAATGAAGTACGAGTTGCATATCCATTTATCCTCACTTTAATTAATTAATACTTAAAAATAATTTTGAAAATAATTTTTAGAAGGATGAACACCACAAAGGATGTTTTTACTTGGACCGTAATTTGCTGGTAGACCTGTACAAAAATGGGTTCGGGCCGGGCTAGGATCGGGCTTTTTATAAATTTTCTGCCCATCATGTGTGGGTGGGCCCGGCCCGGCCCGCAAAAACGGGCCTAACCCTATGTCCATACCCACCCATAAGAGCGGGCCGGGTAGTCCATCAGGCCGCTCGGCCCGGGAAAACTTTAATATTTTCAAAATTATATGATTTTTTAAATACTTTAAAAATAATATTACAACATTTAAAAAATAATTAATACGCTTATAATGTTTATACGCCTTTCAACACATACAAAAAAAATACTTGCACAAAAATAATAATGAGAAACTATATCTAAAATTTAAAACTTAAGCACAAAGTATTATCTAAGTACAAAAATAGATATTACATTTGTTGGGCTAGTTGTTAAAAACTAAAAATTTAAATTTAAACATAATAAACTATAAATATGTATAAAGAAAAATTAGTAATTATAAATATACATGTGTATATGCAAATAAATAAATAAATTAGTATATATATAAATATATATATTTATATATACTAAATGTAGCGGGCCGGGCTTATCGGCCCGAACGGGCCTACACCCTAACCAAGCCCGCCCATTTCTTATTGCGGGCCGGGCTCGAGCCGGCCCGGTGGGTAAATATATATGCCCAAGCCCGCCTATTTGTGCGGGCGGGCTGGGCGGGCTGGCCCGGTTTTGTCCAGGTCTATTTGCTGGTCTAGTCTGGTCTGGTCTGTTTTAGTCTGGTCTGGTATGGTCTGGTCTGAAATTTCATTTTTTATATTTTTTGCATAAAGATTTTATTTTATATATATAGTATAATCCATAAATAATTATATTTTATTCATTTATAATTAAAAATAATAATTGTAATAATAGTAATAATACTAATAATACTAATAATAATAACAATAACAATGATGATGCTGATGATGATGATGATGATGATGATGATGACGACGACGATGATGATGATAATAATAATAATACTAATAATAATATAAATAATAATAATAATAATAATAATAAAATATGGTCTGATCTGGTCTGGTTTGGTCTGGTCTGGTGTGGGACGAATTACGGTCAAAGTAAAAACAACCAAAATCACAAAATAACTAATTCACGAAGACATAATTTACCGCACTAAGGCACTAATAGCATACATATGTTCTTCAAATAACTTTTCAAGAAATTATTTCGTCCACATATTTCAGCTTATCGTAAAAACAACCCTTTATTTTAGCTTATCGAGATTATCAGCAAAAACTTTTTCATCAATCACATAACTTATTTCGTGTGCTGAATTGTGTAACAATAATAAAAAGTTTGGTTGAAGTTACTTTTATGACTGTATTGACTGAAGTTTTACTATAGAAAATCATTCACTACTACAATTTTTATGTTTCCATAAAAAGAATATTTGTAGGGAAATGTCAATTTTTGTAGCCAAAACATTTTGCAGACAATTTTTTTTTGTGGCGAGCTTTGTATGGAAATCATCGAAGCGAAAGAGTTTAGACGACAAAATTCATAACTTTGTCGACTAAAGTATAGGCATACAACACCTTGCTAGACAAATAAAATTTGTCACCTAAGTGTTTTAACCACAACTATATTTGTATGCTCTAAATGTTTTTAGCAACAACAAATTATTGTATGGGAAGACCTTTGTAGATAAAGTATATATTTGCCCACAAAAAATTATTGTATGGAAAGACCTTTGTATGTAAATTTTATAAGGAAGATGTTCATTAATAAATTTTTGTGATTTGAATGATTTGGGAGGAACGATCATGAGCAACATATATTTAAACCAATGCATAATAAAATGTACTAACTCCAAGTCTCCAAATCACCTCCAAATGAAATATTACAATTTGAGTTCAAACATATACTTATCACATAATAAAGTGGAATGTGTAACATAATTGAAATTAAAAACGTAGTCAATGTAATGTTTCGTTCATCTAAAAACTTAAAATAGTAAGGACGAACTAGTCATCCATGATAGTGGCATCCTCATGTTCTCCACCATCTTCAAGAGAAAAAGGAGTGAATGGTGGTATATCAACACCCACTTGCATTAATGATTGATGCCAAGATTGAAGTGTAGAATTGAATTTATGCCCTACATTCCTCAATGTGTTTTGCATCTTTTCTTCTGCCTCTCTACGAGCTGCATCAGCAGCCTTTCGTGCTGCTCGTTCTACCTCCAATTCTTTTTCTAAGTGTTTCACTTTTTTAGATGTTGGCTTTGTCTCTCGTAGGCGACCTGGTGTGGAACCTAAAACAGACGTCATAATTTCAAGCCCAATATCAGGATCATCGACAGGTATCTCATTCAAAGGGGTGTCTTCAGGAAGGTTATATTCCTTTGCCTTCTCTACGAGATACTCATTAGCCTTGGCAACCATTTGTTCCTATAAGAATTACAAAAGCATATGCAATTTTCAGTAACAAAGTGATGAAAGAATTGCAAATGTATATTAGATGTTTTATCTTACATGTTGTTCTTTTGTTGCATCGTTAGTCCAACGTTTGTCTTTTCCTGCATATGTTAGCTCAAACGCAGCAACTTCCGGGAACTGTGAGCCATCCTAGTATTCAATATAAATTTGTAACTAGTTTATAATTTTGAAAAGAATGATTTAAAAATTCTGGTGCAATTAAAATTACTTGTATAACTAGTGTATAACGATTTTTTTAGAAAAAGTTGCTCCAATGGGAGGTGAAATGACTAATTAGCAACCAGATGTGTTCTCCACCTAACCTTATAGGTTAGAACTAAATTTACAAATAGAATTGCTCACTTGGAAATATTTAATACTCCTATATATTAAGAAAGACAAAGAGAGTGCTTAAATATTATATCATTCAAAGAAAAAAACAGCAGCCCCAACTATTTTATCTGTTGATCCAAACAACCCTACCACCCTAACTTGAGAATTGAATGAATTTTAACTTAACATGCTACAAACCACAACAATCAAAGTAATTACATGTGCACCATTCTTGCACTAAATTACATAGAATAAATCATCAGGTGTGTGCGCGGTAACTAAATTTCTGTTTTTGAATGATAGAGACAAAGAGCAGGGAAAAGAAAAAAAAGAAAGTTTTTATATGGAATAACTGAAAAGTGAATTACAGTATAGATTTATAAATAACTTACCGCAAGCATATCCTCTACTATGTATGAGAGAGGACGTGAACCAGTACGATGATTATCCTTCTTATTTGAACGGTTACTAGTGTTTGCAGATGATGAATTCTGAAATAATGAGTAAAGTAGTGTAATATTAAATTACAATAAATAATGGAAATAAAAAAAGTAAAAGTTATTACCTTGAATTTATCTGAGTTGAAATGGTTACACAACCATTCCCAATCATTAACATCTCTATCGGCCATCTCTTCAGGGGGTGAAGCAAGTGCATTGGCATGCGTTTTACAAGACTTGTAATACTTACTCAGTTCCGCCTTGTATTCTCTGTACCTTCCATTGTATAACCTATTGATGTATTCGCTAATATCTGGATCTTCAAAGTTGATCTTGAAATTTGTCTGATATTAATTATAAAAAGTCAGATCAATACGAATAAAATGAAATGATATTGTACCAACACACCTATAATACAAGACGACACCCTACTGTAGCCATAAAAGCTTTCAACATTAACGACAACATCTAAGCTTTAAAGCACCAAAATAAATGAAAATATACAGATCAAATGTATTATTTTTCATGTAGCTAACTCACAGTGATCTCATCCATAAGGTCTTTTCTCTTTTCAGGAGAAAGTTTCCCCCAGAAACCTGTATCCATGGGACAATGTGATCGAATGATAGCTCCAACATCATGAACCAGGAGGCTATGTATCTCAGCACTTGTTGCTCTCCTGGTAACTTCGTTGTACGGAACTTCAATTCTATGCTTACTAAGACGAACGAGACGAGATGTCTTTATTTGTTTACAAGGTCCCCGCCCATGTTTGTCAACCTCAGTTCTTGGAAATTCCTCTGCATCTACTCACATTAACAATGATGAGCTTAAAAGTTAAATTCAAATTCATATATATTATGTCTGTGTTAGTAAGTGTTTATGTGTGTTTTTGGGGGGTATTCTAAATGCCAGCTTAATATACATCATACCATCCTCTGTTTCAACTTCATGACTTGATGATATAAAAGTATTTTCTTCAGTCCTGTGTAGTCCACGACGCTCTGATTCACCTGTTGTGACAATTTTAAAAAAAACACCACATAAATCTTATCAGAAGTAATGAGTAAAAGATCATTTTTGCCTTTGATATTCCAATATTCTGACATACTAAAACAATGACGATAATCTAATGTACTGCAAATTTAAGCTTTGCTGGTGGAGATGTTATTATGCCTAGCATATAGCCATATTTGTAATGTACTACAAGTTTAGGCCTTTCCAGTTGCATTTCTCCTTTATAAAAGTATTACTTGAGAAATAGAAGGAAGAAATAAAAGTCCAAAAAAGTCAAATAACGGTTGGGCAAGCTCCAGCATATAAAAATCAGAAAATTATCTAGAAAATAATAAGTAATCTGAGCAGTGAGATTTACGTAATGCATACCTTCTCCATTTTTATCATGATTATGATGAGGCCGAACATCACTAACATGATCAGGTGGAGGTTGAGATTTATCACTTGAAGGGCCACTTTGCATATTTTTACCAGAAAGAACCATATTATTTTGCCTAGAATGACGAGTTCCAAATATAATACCACGAGTAGTACTGTTTGACTGAGTTTTATTTCCAAGGGAGGAAGTCATGAATGCACTTTCAGGTAGTTTAGGAGAAGGTGTAGATTTCATTGGTGCTACCTTATCTGATTTGGACACCTCAAATACATTTCGAGTGGGTGTAGCTTTTTTTGAAACCATATTACCTGTTGGAGAGGACTGAAATGATTTCAAAGTTTGATTTGGATAAGAAGTCGGAGCTTGGCACCTGCGATTATTCACACCATATCTCAATAGTAGAGGATCAAATTCAAGGGACTGTTGCAGGTGACATCCTAGGCACTTTTGATGTTGGCATGACCTTTGAGCTCCCACTGCGTTTCTTTTGTGAAACCCTGTTCATCTGCTCAAATAGAGAAACAACCAAATCCTATTGACTGAATATATGAAATCATTTTAATTAAGTTTAACAATTAATGTACCTTTATATTGTAACTTCATGTCCAAAAGCGTAAACATTATAAAATATTGAAGATAGTGTAAAATACAGTTAAATAAAAAGCATTTAAATAAAAAGCTTAAAAGCATTCCAATGTAAAATCATCATCTTCATCACTTCCCTCCTCATCACTAAGGGTCTCTAAATCAATCATGGCGGGAGGAACTTCGTCTACATGTAATGTTGTTTGTATGGATTCATAGTTTCGACCATGACACATATCAGGCACATCAGAAGAACTTTCTTGATATGCATCATCACTATCATCATCAGTTTCAAGATTGGCTTCAACATCTGGTATGTCATAAATGCTTCTATGACTCATCTTTAGTGCTACTTTCCAACTACCACCTGCTTTGGGATCATTGACATAGAAGACTTGTTTCGCCATTGTAGAAAGAATAAACGGATCACTGTCGTACCACCTAGTTTTAGTGTCAACTGATATTAAGTGGTAATCACGTTTTATACTTCCTGCCTTAGCGCTATCTGTGTTGTACCAATGACATTTAAACAGTAGAACCTTGTACCGTTGTCTATATATCAATTCAATTACACTTGTCAACTTGCCATAATAGCCGACATCACAAGTGTCATGGCTTCCCGGTACATGGACACCACTATTTTGTGTGGTTAGTTTGTCATCTCGTTCTGCAACTACAAACTTTACTCCATTTACAACGCATCCTTGATATGTTTCTGCTCGTAGAGGCCCTCTTGCTAACTCAAATAGCTCCTCATTATACAATGGGGAATTTTCATCTCCTAATCTTCGAACCTAAGAACATTTCAGATTACAAATACCCATTATACGAACTGGTAATCTAGAAGTAAGGCTTACTAGATACTCGCAATTACTGGAACTAATATGTAACTAACCCGTTCACGAAACCAAGATGGAAATAATTTTCTGTGTATGTTATCTATGTTCACAGCATTTCTGAGCATCATTATTGCCTTATGCTCCCTACATCCAAACAACTTAGTGTATTTGATATAAATATAGATTTGTATATAAGACTAAAACTTTGATCATACTTACTCTAAGAATGGAATAACCTCATCACAGTTGGTTAGTATGAACCAATGAGCAACCTCCAGGTCACTACTAGAAAATGGAATGCTTGAACAGCTCATTATTGGGCGGGATGGTTGAGAAAAAACTGAAAGTTTCTCGTGCCTAGGACCACCATCAAAGTTCCGTTCACTCTTGTTGAATGGTGTCTCCACTTTGTGAAGATACATTGCACAAAAATTCAGAGATTCTTGGGAGACGTAAGCTTCGGCAATTGATCCTTCAGGTCGAGCTTTGTTACGCACAATTTTTTTGTACTTTCCAAGCATCCTACAGTTGATACAAAGGCAGGTTGTTAGAAAAATCAATTACTCGCTATATAATAATATTATTTTGAAAATAACTTTAAAAGTTAACAGTAAATACTAACCTTTCTATTGGGTACAGAAATTGCTCTTCACTCCTGTGAATACAGAAAACATTGATCAAAATATAACACAATTAACTTTAATCCCTTTTTTACACAATAATTTATATAGCATGAACATTTATGGAAACAATGGAGAACGGTAATAGCTCATAGGAAATACTTAGTTTGTATGCATAACTATTTAGTTAACACATGAATAAATACGATAATTGAAATAAATTAAAAAAAAACTGTGATATGCTTATGGTGCTTAATTAGCTACTTTTATAATATATAAGTGTTAGATTTAGTGCATATCATCTAATTTCAGTACTGCAAACTGCCAGCTACCGCGATTACATTGAGCTCGTTTGGTGTTTGGCGGTTCCAACCCCAATCCGCTGCAAATTGCAGCATTTCAAGTGTAAATTAATGTGGCGTTTTAGCTTAAACGCTAGCACCCAAACATAGCCATTGTCTGCGCTCAATAATATGGTTAAAGGAGGGATAGAAGAAGAAGACATTGCTTGTTTGGACGCTTTGTTCTTCATCAATGACAACTGCGGGCTGACGCCGTTCTCATTTGGTTCTCAAGTTCTTCAGCTATTATACTGTCTCCAATCAGCTTCCACTTATTTTGATTTGACGGGACAGTTGGTGTGGCCTGGAGCAGTGCGCTTGAATGATTTCTTGCGAAGAAGGCTGATATCATCCAATGGTGTTCTGTTATTGAGCTTGGATCTGGTGTTGGTATAACTGGAATATTGTGCAACAAGTTTTGTCGCGAAGTCCTGATGACAGACCACAGTGTGAAAGTCCTAAAGATCTTGAAGAAAAAAATAGAGTTGTATTCTTTCGAGATATATTCTGGTTTAAAAGACGAGATGTTGGAGTGGGGAAATAATGATCAACTAAGTTCTAAATTAGAAAATTTTCAGCACTCAAATGTTCCTTTACTCTTTCATACTGTGGAGCAGCTACTCAAAATTCGTGGTGGAGACGAATGCAAATTTATCTTGGCATATGTATCATGAGAAAAAACAATGGATAACGTGGTGATTGATGAAGCAATTCGACATGGTTTGCAGATAAATGAAGTATCTAGGACACGATATACAAAATATGTGTATGATGCTTACTAATATGGGTATGAGAACGATACAGAAAGATAAAAATTAGTCAAATTTAATAAATTTGATATGTAGCAAATGGACAAAATAAAAACTCAAAGAAACTAACAACCAAAATGGGAAAAAAATAATGAACACCCAAAGAAACAGAATTAAAAATCTAAAGTGAAAGTGTACTAAGAGCACCACTCAATTGCCTCTAGGGTGATCCATGTCAATGTGTGATCATTATGTTTTTTTGGCTTATACAGAAAGGGTTCAAATCACACAAATATATCTTAAAATTATTTAGTAGTCACTACTTTCTAGTCATATTTTGGTTTAGGATTTTTATCAAACACCTTGGCTACACAGTTTATCAATTATAAATTGAGTTAAACAACAATGAGGATATTATATCATTCATAAGAAAGCAATAGCAAACAACAGTCTCATTAACAATCTAACAATAATAATATAGTTAGAAATCCAAATTCAACCACAAAAAGTATAAACCTAATAGAGAGGGATGTGGTCATTGTTTACCTATGGAATGAATTGAATCATGGGAAGCTAGGGTAGAAGTTCTCTGATGGTGACCTGCTTACTTCAACCGTAAAAGTGATCATTCTGAGCACGCCAAGCAGCACTGTGGAGAAGCTACAATGTATATCTTGAGATCGGATTGAATATGAGTACAGTTATGATAGAGCAGTTAACGTACTGAATAGGAGTCTTCATTGAATTAGGGCGTACTTTGGCGCTAACTAGCAATTACTTTGGTGGTAGTTTTTTAATTTAGAGGAGGGATAGGAGTACGTAGCTGGCGGCAACCCTCCTCATTGGAAAAATTGATCTGAAAATTGATCCAGAATTTCATTTTGAATGTGCGCATATGGCCATATACATCTTCCTAGGTTTTAACACCTTTTAGCCTTTTATCTCATTATTACTCAAGTTACTCCGTATTTTATTATACTTTACGACTTTTAGAAGCCTTTTGAAACCCTTGTTTTTCGGCTTATCAGACTTATCAACCAGCTTTTTCACCAAACGCGTAATTTTTGCTTTCGCACGCTAAATTGTGTAACAAGTAGAAAAAGTAAGGTTGGAGTTACTTTTCTGGCTGTATTGGCTGAAGTTACTGTATATGATCATTTTAGCTATTTTAGATATAATTTTTTATTTATTTTATTAATGAAATATATTTTAAAAATATATTTTTCTTCAATCAGCAGAATCAGCCAATGCGACCACTTCAACCAGAACTTCATAAATTTCAGCAGAAACAACCAAATCAGCCGAGTTTCGTGCTACCAAGCGGGCTCTAAGTTTTATATTTACTCCTTCATATTTCATTTACAAAATATATATACTTTTATTAAAACAGTAGCATATTAATGCAATTACTAACTAGGAATTACGTGTTACAAGGAACACGTCTACTAACATCTAATTTCTTTATATCAGTTTATTTAATCGGTCAATTCAACTATTTTATCAAACACATAATTTTGATTTTGCAGGCTGAATTGTGTGATAACTAATACTTCCTCCATCCCGAAATAATTGTCCTGCTTTCCTTTTGGATCCTTCCCAAAATAGTTGTCTTGTTTTCTCTTTTGCCAATAATGGGTGGCTCATATCAATTCACCTTTTTCTACTCAAATCTCAACCACAACTTTTACCCTTTCAACCACTTTCTTAAAACTTGTGCAAAAACAAACAAGACAATTAATTCAGGACGGGGGGTACTTCGTATATGTAAGACTAAAGTCATTTTTATGGCTGAACAGACTGATCGAAGTTATGTTTTTAGTCAGTGTTGGAGCTAGGCCACTTTGCCCAAGTCCCACTCTGTTAAACCTTTGGTCTGGGCACCAGGTCGGTACCGGTCTGGGCACCGAGTCGGTACCGATATGGGCACTAGGCCAGTACTGGTCTCGTTCAACCGGGCCCGAGTTGGACCTAAATAGTATCGGGCCGAGCCGACCCGTTCCACTCTATCCCTAAGCCAAACTACTAATCCTACGAATTATTTCTTTTGAAGCGAAAAGTCTTGTTAGACTACAAATTTAAGTTTGTATGCTAACAATTTTGTGGAGAAAGCTCTAGCCCCATAAGATAATTTTTTGTCTAGAAAAAGAGCTTTGGTAGACAAACATATTTTGTATGGAAAAGTAATATTTGTAGTTAAAGTACTACACCCACAAATTAATTATTTTGTCATGAGAAGATACATTAGGCTACAATTTTTTTTTGTATGTAGAAATTTTGTAGGCTAAACATGTTTTTCTAGTAGTGATTTTACCTATTTGTTCATATATTTTTTCTTTATCTTATTAATAAAATATATTTTAAATATAATTTTTTCATAAAAAGCTGAATCAGCCAACCAGTAACTTCACCCAGAACTTCATAAATTTCAATAGAATGAGTCGATTCAAAGAATTTCAATGTTACCAAACAAGCTCTAAAACTTAATTACATATTTCACCAATAGTAAATCACATATTGAAGTTGAAAGATTCCAAAATATTTCTGAAAAAGTTAGTTATTTTAAAACTAATATTAAATTAAAATATAAAGGAAAAATATCAATTTGGTCTTCGTGCTATAATAATAAAGCCAATTAGGTCCTCATATTTAAAAAATAAATCAAATCCCTAACTTTGAAAAAACGTTCAATCAAGTCAATTAGCAGATCACCTACCATGTCAGCAGGTCACCTGTTAACGTGATGCACACATGGTGGTCCACGTGCACACCACGTCATCAGGAAATGGCTGACTCGGGCTTCTATGTGTCACGTCACCATGTGACTTGCTGACGTGGCAGGTAACCGGCTAATCAACTCAATTGAACATTTTTTCAAAGTTTGGAAATTTAATTGTTTTTTTTAAAGTATGAAAACTTAATTGACTTTTTCGTAATAGTACGACGATCAAATTGACTTCTTAAATATAAACAAATAGAAAAGGAGTAAATAGAATCAAACTCGATCTCAAACAATATATCCGTGTATTAAATTAAATTCGATCGAGCTTGTTTCTTAAAAAGTCAACTTAATAAGTATAATAACAAGAATAATTCCATCTAAAAAACTTATATAGAAGTTTTTTAATGTTTTACAGTTTTGTATATACTTAAGGAGTAGCGATCCTGTCAAGTCAGTCTGACAGATTGGAACTCGTCATCCGATCGAGGCCATTTAGGACCCTTCCTCATGAATTTTATTGATAATCTTTTTTGCATGTTCTTCACCAAGTCTAGTTTATGTCCACCAAATTTCAGTTTAAATTGAAATTTAATTGACAAAGCAGTTAAATAATTTATTTACAATTACTGCGCTTTATATATTAATAAACAGCGCAGTGTTTTGCAATTTCACATTTGACTGAATTCCCGGTTGAATTTTTAGCTGAAATTTAGTGGGGATAAATTAGACTTGATAAACAACATGCTCAAAAAATTTCATCAAAAAATTCCACTAGCCTCTAATGATCTTGACTAGATGGTGAGTTCCATTAGACCGGCCTCATATCTCCATACTTTTTTTGCGTATCCTTCTAAACATATTATAGTATCTGCTCCAGTTAATGCCAACATCCTTGATTGGGATGAGACTCAAACATTTGACCTTCTCTTTGAGAGATCAACAACGATGACATCAAACCACAAGTTACTTGACAAGTGTCCTCCTTACTTAAGAACTTAAATACCTAAGTCTGTCCTTTATTGGCTACACTAAACAACCTTTGTAACTCTCCTACTTGTCACGTACTTCACAACTTCCAGATTTGTTTTGTCGAAGCTAGGAAATCGTGGGAAAAAACTGACGGAGAGAAAATGCTATTAGGTTTGCTGTTATTTTTAGGAGAAAAGAATGTTTTATACGAAGTATTGCTTGAATTTCTATTATTTATTGATAATAATTAAAGAAATTAAAGTCGGCCTTCTAATTAGCACTTGCATAAAGCTTCTCCCTAGTGGCTTAACGTCGCGTAGGATTTTGTCTCCCTATAAAAGTTTTATACTTTGTGGTTGCGTAGAGTTTCCTTCCATCGATTATTTGTGCGGCTCTTATTCTCTAGGTTTCTAGAATTCTTTTTAGGTTTAGATTGTTGGTTTTGGTTTTGGGATTCAGGCGACTTTCATACTATCTATTGGATCTCGAAGCAGTGACAAGATTTCATCTTTGTTTTCTGATCTCTTTTCGCAGCTTGTGCAAGTAAATCTTAAAGGAGGCGTGATTGCGGTTGCAGCTTTTGGAAACTAATCCAAAGTTCAAGAAACGATATCATATCTTCTATGGATGATCTAGAGCAACGTTGTCTCATTCCTGCAATTGAGGAGGAGGTCAAAAGGTTAGTTTCTGGTGAATCAACATGCGCAGAGAGGGCGGTGGTGGTAGTGGAGGCGGAACGAGCAACGAAAAGACGGAGAGAGGTGAAAGGTTGAGCAAGGGGGGAGATAGATTGGTGGTCCGACCCCTCCTGAACCGCCACCTTGGAGCGATCGAGGTGATAGGGTTTGGAAGATTTATCAGATCTAAGGTTTTGGAACATCTCTGAGAAACGATGGCAGGGAGAGGTGGATGCCAGTGGTGATTACTACTTGATTGTGGTTAGTGGTCATTAGCTGACAGTGGCTAGTGATCGGTTGTGGTCATTCATCGACGGTGATCACTGCCAGTGATAATCATTGTTTGATAGTTGTCACTAATCGAAAGTTAGTCACTGGAGCATTTGGTCATGATGATCACGTGATAGTAGTCATTAGTTTAAAGAGTATAAACTCACATTTGTCAATCCATTTCTTGAATTTTTAGTCCTATATTTGTTATAGTTTTTTTAGTATTATTTTATGTCAAACCCCTCATTTAAAACCATGGCGATTAATGTGCATAATTTATATATCACGATAGGCTTTGACTTATTAAACACGATGTTAATTTGACTGGAAAAAGTACGGAGTATAAAAGAAAAGCTGAAAAATAGAAAAGATAAAAAGATGAAAAATGGGAAAGGTGTATATAAACAATGTGAAAAGTAGGAAAAATATTTTGAAAAAGCATGGTAAAATTTTGAAGTATATATAATAACATCAGTTAAATAAAAAAAAAATCACGGACGCATCCATATACTGTTAGATTATTGGACTTATACTACATGTAATATTCACAATATATTATTTATTGAGTTTAATTGTATGTTATATGTTATCTTATATTTAGGCAAAAAAATTAGTGGTCCTATAGATATTAATTTAAATGGGCTAATAAGTTATCTAATAAGGTATAGAGCCCAAATGTGTATAGACCTATGGGCTTGACCTAATCAATGATGCGTTGATTAGGGTTAAGCACTCTCTATAAATAAGGGGTTATGGTCTCTAGTTGAACAAGTCATTCCGTCTTTCTGCATCTCATCACTAGAGAGATAATCCTGAGGCTGTGTATCAACTAGAAGACGAAGACGCAAACCCTAGCCTCTGTCTCCCGGATCTCCAAAGATCATCTCCTATGGAGTCAGGTACGTCTCCGCTCAGTTATTTCTCTAGATAATTCCAATATGAAGATTAAAGTATTCATGGATTTATTTCAACAATTGGTATCAGAGCCTCCTTCATATTGAATTATTTGAAGTATTCATATTTTTGTTTCAATCTCATACGATTGAATTTCGGATTTTCTTTTGTCATATGATCTATCGATTAAATGGAATCGGGGTAATGTGATTTTGCTTTTATGCGATTCGTTCCTAATGATTAGTCGGCAGTTGATGATTAAACGAAAATTTGAGTATTTTCTTTTTTCTCGTGATGCTGCCGATTTTATATATTGGCGGCAACATATTTAGGTTTTCATCTGTTTTTCAATTCATTCCCAGCCTGATTTGCTTGATCACGTACTGGAATGTTACGTTTTTTATTTTATTTAATGTTCTATTGTCACTGAACAGTGAATCGACAATTATTTGTCATTGAACAATGTATATTTGTTCTACGTTTCGGCACTATGGAAAAACATTAAATGGCAGTTAAATTGTTTTTTATTTATCTTGTTATGTTTTGGCATCTGGCGATTAAATTTTCTAAAAGTGAATTAGTTTGGTAATATTATTTCGTGTGGCTATAAGCAAATTCAAGGCGAATCCAAATGAATCGGTTCCTTTGTAAAAGGAATTAGTCATTTAGCCTACGTAATTGTTCTTTTGGATTTCTAAAACATTAAAAATATTCTTGATTTGGTTCCAGTTTTTCTTTTCAGTCAGCCGATATATATGGATATCATATTAAATATTGATTTGTATCCATTTTTCGGCGTTTCAACTTTTGGGGATTTTTTGGATTTTTTACGGTTTTGGTAATAATGTACATATATGTGTGATTATTACCGTTTTTTGGTAATTAAATACTTATATGTAATTGCGATCAATATCAGTTTTTGCAAAAAAAGGCACAGTTTTGATATAACCGGACTCGATTATTTTGTTAGTCGTCAAAATTTGCGGCTTAAAAATGTGTATTATGTGTTGTGAACGTATAAAACCTATTTTGTGATCGCACAACGATTGGGAACGGGTTTTACAAATTATCGTTGTACATAACACGTTTGCATGTGATTCAGAAAAATTCGCCCAATTTTATTTTTAGATTTTTTTATTTAATATTAGCATGTCTAATATTTGGGTTGCTTAATTGACACAACATGTTGCCAAAGTAACCTCTCTTGTTGAAATTAATTAACTCATATATTAAGATGATTGTGTACTTTCTTATTTCATGCGGATAATAATCGGCCCAAAGGAAGATTATTATTTGGCCGAAATTTATGTACATTTGTGATAATAAAATTTGTGATGATTATGAAGTTTTTCGTGTGAATATTAAGTCAGTCCAAAGAAAGGCTTGATATTTGACATGATTTTATTATCAAAAATTTATTATCACACTATGAGTACCATTTGCAAGTCTAATTTATGTCCAAAGACAAGATTAGATGTTGCACTAGGTATCTTGTGATGGGGATTGCTAATATTTAAATTTAAAATTAATTATCAAATTAATTTCAGTTCCTAGAACATATCATTTATATTATTTTTTGTTCTCTTTCAGTCAACAATTCTGCTGCTACAATATCTGCTAATATTAATAGCATCCCAATGCTTAACGACATGAATTTTAAGGAATGGAAAGAGAACGTTATGATTGTTCTCGGTTGCATGGATCTAGACCTTGCACTTCGGACTGAGAAACCCGCCACTCTTAAGGACACATCTACCCTTGATGAAAAGAGGGAGATGGAGAGGTGGGAACGCTTAAACCGCATGAGTCTAATGATCATGAAACGTGCAATTCCAGAATCATTCAGGGGCACGATGTCTGATGAGGCTGATGCCAAATCGTTCCTTGCCGAACTTGAAAAACGTTTTGCTAAAAACGAAAAGGCGGAAACTAGTACTCTTTTGAGCACTCTTGTTTCCATGAAGTATAAAGGCAAAGGGAACATAAGGGAGTACATTTTTTAAATGTCTCACATTACTTCAAAACTAAGTGCACTAAAGCTTATTTTACCTGAGGAATTGCTTGTGTATTTAGGTTTGATCTCTCTTTCTTCTCAATTTAATCAATTTAAAGTCAGTTACAACTGCATTAAGGAGAAATGGTCTCTCAATGAGCTCATTTCTCATTGTGTTCAAGAGGAAGAGAGAATAAAGCAAGATAAGATTGAAAGTGCTCATTTGGCATCTACCTCTAAGGGCAGCAAGAAAAGGAAAATTAAGGAAGCTGTAAATTCAGGGCCTCCTAGGAAGCATCATAAGGAAACTAAGGAAGAAACTAAGGAATCTGGATGCTTCTTTTGCAAAGGGACTAATCACAAGAAAAAGAACTACACTAAGTACCACGCTTGGCGTGCGAAAAAGGGGTTGCCTGAGCTGCCGAAAACCAATTGATGGTGAAAGATACATCTATGTCGGTGATGGCAAGCGGGTTGAAGTTGAGGCTATCAGTGTTTTTAGATTATTATTAAAGACTGGTTTTTATTTGGATTTGAAAGAGACATTTTTTGTGCCGTCATTTAGGCGGAATTTAATTTCTATTTCTGCATTGGACAAATTTGGTTATTCTTGTTCATTTGGAAATAGTCAGTTTAGTCTATTTCAAAATTCAAAACTTATTGGTACTGGTCTTTTATCAGTTTATGATAATCTATATTCACTTGATATAAATATCTCATATAATGAAACCTTGCATGTAAGTACTCGTGGTACTAAAAGAAAATTAACCAATGAGAATTCGTTTTCACTTTGGCACAAGCGTCTAGGACATATTTCTAAAGAAAGAATTCAGAGACTTGTGTCAGATGGAATTCTTGATTCCCTTGACTCCTCAAATTCGGATATTTGTGTTGAGTGCATTAAGGGAAAACAAATGAACAAATGGAGATTAGGTGCCGAGAGAGCTTCAGATCTATTAGAATTGATATATACAGATATTTGTGGACCATTCCCTACACCATGTAGAAATGGTCAAACATATTTTATCACATTCATAGATGATTACTCTCGTTATGGTTACCTTTATTTCATTCATAGACGTGTTCAAATCTTATAAGGCCGAAGTTGAAAATCAATTAAGCAAAAGAATAAAAACCGTAAGATCTGACCGTGGTGGTGAATACTATGGTATATGATGGTTCCGGTGAACAACGTCTAGGGCCATTTGCTAAATTCCTAGAGGAGTGTGGAATTGTTCCTCAGTACACCATGCCAGGAACTCCTAGCATGAATGGTGTTGCTGAGAGACGAAACCGTACATTGAAGGACATGGTTAGGAGTATGATTTGTCATACTACTCTGCCGAGAGAGGCACAAAAATTAGTAGTCCTATGGATATTAATTTAAGTGGGCTAATAAGTTATCTAATAAGGTATAGGGCCTAAATGTGTATAGACTCATGAGCTTGACCTAATCAATGATGGGCTGATTAGGGTTAAACACTCTCTTTAAATTAGGGGTTATGGTCCCTAGTTGAACACGTCATTCCGTCTTTCTGCATCCCATCGCTAGAGAGATAATCCCGAGGGAGTGTATCAACTAGAAGACGCAAACCCTAGCCTCCGTCTTCCGGATCTCTAAAGATCATCTCCTATGGAGTCAGGTACGCTTCCGCTCAATTATTTCTCTAGATAATTCCAATATGAAGATTAAAGTATTCATGGATTTATTCCAACATATACTTGCCCCGATAAAAGTCTCAAAGTCCTACATAAACTATAAGGAATAAAACCATTTGACACATTTGCCCCCAAATCAAAAAATTAGATTGCCCCAATAGATGTAAATCTAGTGGTTCAATCCAATTCTAGAACCAAAGAATTTCATACTGATCGAAGATAAGTTTGAGGCAGTAATCATAAACCGTTAACAAAACCAATTGTGTTTCTTGAAGTGCAGATGACAAAAAATAGCTTTTATCAAGAAAAGCAGAACAGTGAGAACTCAAGAAGGCATCAAAGTTTAATTATCTAGACTTGAGTTTTTTAATCGTGTAGACTGCACAGAATTGAAGTGTATATGTATATTCAAGTCTTTTAAATCTATTTTATACGAATTATTTAATGATCTAGACTCTAGAGATGTTTTTAACCTAGATGTAAATCATGTAATAAACGAACAAATTAATTTATCCTAAAAGTCTTAGTACGTAGTATAGTGGAGTAGTATAGTAGTCGTCAAAATTAATTTAGTAATTAACAACCTAAAATTTAAAAATTAACAATATCCTAATGTAAATAAAACTTTTATAATGTAAAATTAACTTCATGCTAATGTAATTGACACTATGAGGTTACCAATACTATTAACATGGTTGAGTTTTATCACGATGATTTTTGTTGGGTGAAACGCATTAGTCTTAAACATGAAATTAGTATTTACATTAATGATATGTGATACCCGATTCAAGGTTTGTAGCTTGAAACATTTCTCGATGGATGGGGTGCAAACAAGAAAACATTTTTCACATCCATTGATTTATATTAGAAGTATTTACCTAAATGAGAGTAATTAAATTATTAATTGTCAATAAAGGACTAAAGTATAAAATTTCCTGGAATAAGACTTATTATTTGCAGCTGGACAAAAATACTCTGGAAGTTTGACAAATAGACTCACACGGATAGACAGCGTGACTGGCTGCCTCTTGCTGCCGCCAGCCACCGTGCCGCAGGCCATCGCCGCCGACCGCCGGCCACCGGCCACTGTGCCGCACGCCACCGCCGCCGCCGACTGCCACAACCTCAAAACTAGCCACTGCTACAGATCTGATCACCGCAGTCGTAGATCTGACCGCCGCCTCCCTAGATCGGACCAGATCTGTCCTCAGTCGACCACCGATCGCCGCTACTGCGGATCCAGCCCCCGCCGCCACAAATCCGACCGCTGCTACTACAGATCTGATGGACACCACCACTGATGCCAAACTTTTGAACAGAATGCCAACATGAATGAAGAATGTCATTTTAATGGCATTTTATAAAAGAATATGAATTTTTTTTAGAGTAAAAATGCCAATTTGATGGCATTTCAAAAAAATGCCAATTTGATGGCATTTTTTTTAAAAAATGGCAATTGTAACACCCAACACTTTATTCGAACCATTAAAATCCTCCCAGAAGCCAAGTAACCCAAAGCAGTTTAAATCCTCCCAGAGCAATTAAAAAATCCAAATGAGGAAGAAGGAGAAGTAAAGATACAACATATATACAGATCGACGGAAAAGAGGAGAAAAGAAGAGTCCGAGCTTGATAGCACCACCCATACCAGATTCAGATGGGAATATTTTGAAGAAACAAAGGAGTGAGAGGAAGAGGAGACCTGGCGGTCACGGCCGCTGCTCGCCGGTGCTCGCCGGAGCTGTTCGTCAAGCTCGCTGCCGCTCACGGTTGAAGGCTTGAAGCCCAGCTCTCTGCTGCGCACAAAGATGCCGCACAGTTGAATAAAATGATAAGGAGGTTGTGTCGTTGTGAGCAGGAGATGGTTTAAATGAATTAGAGGGGTAAAATTGGAAGAAAGATCTCATTTAGGGAATAAAATTATACTACTCCTAATTTGGAATTTCACCAGTAAATTAATCCCTATTTGGGACTATTTTCCCTTTATATTATAGGCTTTTAGAGATAGCTTTGACTTTACATATTATCACTTTCAAAAGATGAAACTGAACTCAAGCAGTTGTGATATACTACCTCTGTCTCATAAAATATGTCTCACTTCAATTTGGATCGAATTTTAAGAAAATGAGAATAAAGTGGAAATGTATGGTTGTGGACCTTGTGTTTGAGTAAGAAAAAGGTAATCGAATGTTAGACACACAAAACTTTCCAAAAAAGGAAATGAGAACAATTTTCTAGGACGATCCAAAAAAGAAGGTGAGACTTATTTTATGAGACGGAGGGTGTACTTTATTAGAGATTTTATATATTGTACAGACTAATGTGGTTTTACTTAATTTGGAAAAGTTATCGTATACTTTATAAGAAAATTTTGCTACTCTCAAATGTATTTTATTAAGTTTTTGTCTGGATGTATTTCTGTAGTAATCTTTACCAAATACTTTCTTTTTCTGTATCAGAGATACATTGATATTTTATTCACAACAAGATGACATGTTTAGTTAATTAATATCCAAGATGTTGTGTACTTGTGTTCGTGTTCGACTCATTTTGGAAGGAAAATTAAAATAATAATGATGCTATTTTAAAAAGTGTATTTTGTTTGTCCTATTCAGTAGTGAACCTTAGCTTCTGTATTTATTTAAAAATAACAGGAAAGTTCCTGTCTTCAATTCCAAACGTTCATCAGTGACTAGAAAAATATTGGGCTTATCATCTGATCTGATATATCTCCAGATTAATAAGCAAAAGGTATTTTTCGTGGAAACTGCTAAAGAAACTCCAACAAAATTTAGACAAAGAATCAAAATCTAGTTGTTGATCTCTTATTATTTCCCTACATGTGGTCGAGCCCCTTCACTGACGTCTACTTATCTTCTTACGCTTTTGGACCATATATAGAGCTTCAATCTCTATCGAATCCAATAATGCTCTATCTGAACATTGTACACAACCTAGCTATTTTAATTTACCATAAAACATCTCACTTCTTGTAAGAGTCCCACATCAATAATTAAGAAGCACCAATTAGTTAAGACTAAGAATTTAGGCTACACTAAATAATAAGTTTAATTTAGAGAGAATTATCGAAATACGACTAAATCAAAGTGAAATTGCAAAAATAGAACTACTATGTTTTATTGGTCAAAAATGGGACTAAAAAAGCTGATCTGATTAAACTGTCCCCAATTAAAAAACATGACATCGGCGACGCATAACAGCCTCCCATGTCCGCAGGTCATCTTTGCTTCCCTCTCCACTGCTTAGGTTGACATATCTCCGGGTAGTATTTCTTCTTCTTCTTTTCCTCCTTCTCCTTCTTCCTCTTCTCCTTTTCCTTCTCTTCTGTTCTCTGCTCCTTTCTTCTTCAGTCATATTTTTTATTTAAAAATTTTGGATTGGAAATTCATGGTTCTATCAATTATTCGAAATTATTTCGGTCTAATTTTTTTGTTATGTTCATCTATCAACTTTTTAAAAAAAGCCACATGATTGGCAATTTTTGGAGACACATTGGCAATTTTAAGAGATGACAGTATTATATGTTTGAAATTTCCATGATTTTGACATTTTTGACAAATGATGACATTTTTGCATCTAAAAATATCATGTTGTAATCTCAAAAATGACATGTTTTTACATCTAAAAATGTCATGTTGTAATCTCAAAACTGACATGTTTTTGCATCTAAAAATGTCATATTTTTGCCTTTGATGTTAACATGTCATTTTCGAGTAAAGTGACAAACAGGTCAAAACTATCATCATAACAAATGCAATGTCATGAAATTGTTATTATTTTTAAATGATGGCATTTTCGAAATAAAATGTCTAAAATAATCTGAAATTCAAAACAAGTAGAAGAAGTTTTAATCGAAAACAGAGGAGTGCAAGGAGAATTGCGAGGA